GCACGACAGGCACGGAAGGTTGAAGTCGTTATCATCAATCACAAAGAAAGCAGCCCACGCCAGCCTATTGCCCGGCCCACTTTGGAGCGTGCTGCGAAGCAGGTCCATCGTACGGTAGAGAGACGAAGGTCTACGCGCCCTTCAGTTTCAACCATGCGTCATATAGTTGAGCCTCCGACCGCTCGACAAACGGTCATTCCATATTCCCAAGATGACGACAGTGACGATGAGCTTAGCTTTTTCTGAGCGGGGCCTTTCCTGGGGGTGTTGGTCTGCTTTTTTTCTTCTTGGAAATCAGTGTTTACGGTGTTTAGGACTCTTGATTTGATACCCATGGCCTTGGATTGGTGTTTTTGCTGTTGAGATATTTTGGGCACGTCTGTAATTTTTGTTTACTTTTTCGACTGAGACAAGTTATATGCGCACTATATCTGGCACGTAAGATAAAACAACTTGCAGACCGACAAAACTCCGGGCCCAACATGGGACGGCCTTGAATGATATAGGCCTGCAGCACGCAATCTCAGGGTAAGACATCGGATTGTACTCCGTACATATTTTCCAGTTTCAGTTCGCCAAGCCACTACTCTACATGGAGTACGGAGCATAGGACCGATGGCAAGACTACGGAGTAAATAATAATTCTATCAGAGAGCGTTTGGCCAAGCATGGTTTCTCCGAGGGCAATTCTCCGTGAGAGGAGATTAAGGTCTGATATAAATGAAATGCCAAGGAAACAACCCCTGAAGACGGAGATAACTTTTTACAGTGATGACTGGAGCAATAGCCTATGACCGGACTGTTTTACCACCCCTAATGTGGGTTGCTCCGTTCGCCTCAGCGCTAAGGGAGACCAGTCGAATATGAAAACGTGACCCCACAAAACCCTCTTTTCCCCACTCCCGACTGCAGATTGGCTCATCCATGAAGGAAAGGCCCCTTTCTCAAACAAACCAGTCGTAGGCCAAGCATTGCCGCGGGTCTATGTCGGCCTGTGTGTGGCGGTTGTTGATCCTTGTCAAACTCTGCCTGTCCACTGGCTGTTTCACTGTCGAACAGCACTGGGCCAGTTATAGCCCTTGATCGGTATTCCGCCACTTTACGACAGCTCAGACACGACCTGTCGCATGTTCCAGATCCATCTTCTGGCAAAGTCTGCTGAGGCTGCCTGAAAATATGAGCCCCTGATTCGCTGCAATGGATCTGCAGGATCGTCTGGCCTTTATACTCCATACGCAGAGAAATCCCTTGCACCGATCTGTGGTCCCAGCGCCAAACCCCTCTTCCGAGAAAATTGAGAAAAGTCCCAGAAATCAAAATGGAAACGACCGGATTCCACATGATGCGGGCCGTGCTGGAGGTGGAGAGTCCTGCTTGAATTCTACATATTGGTCCGGTTGGCCCTGACCCTGTCTTACTCTCTCTCTTCGCTGGACTGGATACAAGGGGAAACAGTCCTTTCTTCTATTTTTCGACCTTCCATTGTTCATGGTCCATTTATTTTTATCACAACAACATTGTCTCATTCTTTTTCCTTTGTTTTTGAGACAATCTTCATTGTGTCGCGGTAGACAATTTTCCATCTCTAGCCCGTTTTTCTTGCAGTGACTGGATCACTGGCATTCCTTTCGTTGCCCGTTGACAACAGCCTTTAACAAACATCGCCCGCTGTTCTGTGAACATTTCGCTTCTCGCTTCTCGCTGAAACCAATTGGACTGAAAAAAATCCAACCAACGGCTTTTATTCCATGCTTTCACTCTGATTTCTATACATTAGATATAGACAAGTCCTTTACTTGACACACCAGCCACCCAACAGAAAACCCTAGACACCCGAACCCCTTCAATCCTTGTTTCTGTCGTTCGACCAAGCAATCTGGGGTTATTCCGTTGCTGTTTCCCTCGATAAGATCATCCGAGCCTCCTGTGGGGTCGGTCCAGATATCAAGGTTCCCCCTTTTCAATCCACTCTTTTCTAGCGAGCTGGACTCGCTAAACAATACACCAATTTCTATCCTAAGCACTTGACGTGCAGCGTCTTGGGAGGTCACCATGCACTCCTTTCTACTGGCGATGTCCCTCGCCGGACTAACCAGCGCAACGGATATTGAACACATCGAAAAACGACATGGTGGTTACTCTCCCTACTACGAAGCCGTTAACGATGAGCTGGCACACTATACAATCCTCGCCCTTGGCTGTGCTGCCGCCGCTTATTACATCTGGCAGCTTGCCTTCCGCTTCTCTCGCCATCTCCGACGCCTGGCAAGCTTCACCGATGATCGGCAACGGTACTTCGTCTCCACACACAATACCTTTGCCTGGATCAAGGAGCATATCATATATGCTGCGTTGTTCCGCAGCCGACACAACCGTGAACTCCAGCTCTCATCAGCTATTAACATGGGTACTTTGCCTAGCCGCTTCCATGCTTTCCTTGTCACCGGCGTTATCGCCATGAACGTCACGCTCTGCTGTGTGACAACTCCTTATGGATCAGAATCAGACACACTTGCCGGTGTTATTCGTAACCGCACCGGAGTTATGGCAACCGTGAACTTGATCCCATTGGTCTTGATGGCAGGCCGTAGCAACCCTCTAATTGCTATGCTCCATGTGCCTTTCGATACATGGAATCTGCTCCACCGATGGCTCGGCCGCATCGTGGTGTTGGAAAGTCTTGCACACGTGTTTGCATGGGCGATCCCCAAAGCCAATGAGAAAGGATGGAAGGTTGTCGGAATGGCTCTGAGTAAAAGCAGCTTTTTGCTGACCGGCTTGGTGGCTGCTTGTGCGTTCACTGCGCTCTTGCTGCACTCGCCGTCGCCCATTCGCCATGCATTCTATGAGACATTCCTCCACCTGCACATTGCAATTGCAGCCGTTTCCATGGGTTTTCTTTGGGTCCATCTCAACGGACTGCCAGCGCAAGCCTATCTGCTTGCCTCCATCATCCTCTGGGCCCTCGAACGAGCGACCCGCTTCCTCATCATTGTGTACCGCAACTGTGGCCGTGAATCCACCACCGCAGTCATCGAAGCCATGCACGGCGACGCAATGCGCATTACTTTGCGCATGGCCCGCCCCTGGACCTTCCGTCCCGGCCAGCACATCTACCTCTACATCCCATCAGTGGGCTTGTGGACCTCACACCCATTCTCCGTTGGCTGGAGCGAAACCGAAGACAGCAATCTCGACGAGAAGTCTCTCCCACTCACAAGCAAAGACATCCTCAGCGCTCCTCAAAAAGAAACTATCTCTCTCCTCGTCCGCCGCCGCACCGGAATGACCGACAAGCTCTTCCAGCGCGCCGCGAACTCCCCGACCTCACAGATTACCCTCCGCGCCTTTGCCGAGGGCCCATATGGCAACATCCATACCATGGACTCATACGGTACGGTGATGCTCTTCGCTGGCGGAGTCGGTATCACCCACCATGTCCCCTTCGTCCGCCACCTCGTCGCCGGGTTCGCAAATGGCACCGTCGCCGCCCGTCGCGTCACACTCGTCTGGATCATCCAGTCCCCTGAACACTTGGAGTGGATCCGGCCCTGGATGACCAGTATCTTGGCGATGGATCGCCGCCGTGAAGTCCTGCGCATCATGCTCTTTGTTACGCGGCCGCGCAATACCAAGGAGATCCAAAGCCCATCTGCAACTGTACAGATGTTCCCTGGTCGTCCTAATATTGATACGTTGGTCGGCATGGAGGTCGAGAATCAAATTGGCGCTATGGGCGTTCTTGTCTGCGGCAATGGTGGTCTGAGTGATGACGTTCGCCGAGTTTGTCGGAAGAGACAGGCTCAGTCCAGTGTCGATTATGTGGAAGAGAGTTTCTCTTGGTAGAGTGATATACATGATAGATATAAGTTGCTGTCTTTTTGGCGTATGAGCGTGTTTATTGTGATGGTCGCTGTCGTCTTTTTACGTAGGGTTATACTGTTGTATGATCCTTTACTTGCCTGTTCGGCTTGCTTTGCAGCTGGCTTTTCTTGTATACTTTTGACTTTTTCTTTCTTTTCTGGCAGCGATCCTCCTGTCATTATGGGTCTATAGAGTTGTACATATCTTTTCTGCAAAATGCACAATTTGGTTAAGGATTGCTCTTAATTTAAGCATCGAGGCTCAATAATGTAGATAACAGTCCCCAGGCTTCAGTTGTGTGACCACCATCTGTTGAAATAGCGGCATATCCTTCGGCAGCTGCTGCGATCATTCCATATGCCGTTGTGGATGTGAGCCCGGCCGTGTAGCCGTTTCCTCTGATACCTTGTAATCGCTCATTCCAGGAATCACTATGTAGAAGGACGCCAACATTGACGGTATCGTTTTGGCGGTGTGTTTTTAGGTCACCTGACATTGCAGAAGTTGAGGTTTTGAGCTATCACACCACCGTGATTGTAGTAGTACCACTCAGGAATTTACTTGGAAACATTTGAGACTTGAGAAGCTTGCTGTGACAGAACTCGCCTGGTATGTGAAGGTATGAAAGGGCTTGAGATGAGCACAAGGATGGAGAGAGGCTCATGATGTCAAGACCAGCACTTCGGAGAATAAGCTCGGCAGAAATAATCTGCTGGATATTTTGATCTGGAGAGGTCATATTGCCATAGTTTATATACAACATATGTCGTTATTATATGTTTGTTGTTCGCTTTCTTAATCTATACGCGTATTCGGCAGGGGACTCGAATATTGCTGCCTCGGTCCGTTAAGGAGTGACATCAATTAGGAGAGATTGGATGGTATCTATTAGAGAAAATATGCGTGATGATGGCAAAGTATGAAGCCTAGGAATAGTTGAAATGTGCTAAATGTAGAAAAAAGCAACTTTTTTACATAACAGACAAGAGAAACCTAGATGAATCGTCTATAAACGAAACGAAATAAAGTCTCAAAGCTAAATACAGTATATAGAGCCTACCTTCAAGCACAAGAAGTTCAGACTTCAGAATAACTGTGTGCAAGCGGTATGCTTCTCTCAGAGTCCGCACTAAGGCTTATCTGATCAGGATACCAATAAAGAAGATAGCCATGACAATCGCCATCGGCACGCTATCAAAAACATACAATGTCCACTCATGCATAAGAGGGTACCCATCATTGTCCATTGTATATTCAACGATCCGAAAAATAGAACGGACCAAGATGAGGGCACTGACAGCGTATAGCATATGCAATGATCGTTGCCAAGGAATACCAGGCTTGAGGCACTCGGGAGTTGGCGCACGGCGAAGGCGCTTTGCAAAAATGATGGCCGTTACCCAGAAGAGGGAAAATGAGACGAGTTGAATTCCCAAACCGGCAATGACGCAAACCTTTCCCCATTGGGGGTGCCCCATAACTGAGAGAGACGAGGAACTTCCCTGGACAACAAAGGACAACACGTCAGACCAGACAAATGTTTTTGTAAGGCGTGAGACACGAATGGGAGAAAGATGTTCTCCATGGACCCGACGGATGAGTCGACCAAGGGTCATGTAGATGGACGCGGCAAAGAGCGTAGGACTGAGCAGAAGGAACACATTGGCGATCATGTACGGTCCCATTGTAGTTGTGTTATTGTGTGCAATGCAGCGGCCAATGTAACCAATGATCTGGACTTGATTGTAATGCAGGTCAGTGTCTGGTCTTTGGGGCATAGAAAAGTAAGACTGTAAGGCAAGGGAGTCCACATACACAAGCCGCCTAGGGTAAATGCTATACAAAACCATGTCCTGGCTTGGAACATTTTCCAAGAATGAAGACCCGTAAGGACAATGAATATCAGTATGAAAATGACCGCTGCTGGTATCGAAGGTGTATAGTTCCAAAATTTGTAGGAACGGGACACGAGTTGATACATCTTTGGTGATTGCATGGACCAAAGAGAGAGCCAGGTATTGTGGGTTGAGGAGAGCTCGGAGGAACACAGAATTTTTATAAAGTAGAGAATTTTGGACATTCCACATATAGAAGAATCCCTTTTTACTTTTTAGATCTATACCAGGTAGATCGGATTGCAGATACGCGTATAGAGATGACCCACACGCAACCTTGGAACGAAGTAAAGTTGGCCACTCCCAAGCTGTACAACATTTGAGCTAGTCTGAAAAGGGAATTGTGCTCGTCAATCTGAGGCTTGTGCAAAATATTATCGTCTCTCATTTTTCGTCCGCAGGCAGCTGTTTGGTTCACACTTGCATCAGTCTGCCCCTAGTAATTTCTGATGCATAAGTAATATGATTACCTGATAATATAGATCACAGTCGACCAGCAGGGGAAAGCTCGTCAGTAGCCAGGTAGTCGTTGATGGATTTCGAAGAGTGCTTCTTCAAAACGGCGTACACAATCCTGAGGATTGTTGTCTTTGCACTGCAAATTGCAAAGTTACCTTGCCAGGAGGCAGATCCATACTCAGCCCGTAGGATCTTAAATGCCTCCTCGCACTTTCAACGGTCTCAACGTAAGACGCAGGAATGGGATCAAGGGTGCTAAAAAGCAGGTTGCAAGCACGGGTATTAGCTTGATCCCATTTGTCAAGTTCCTTCTGATGATCCGCACGGAGAGTCTTGTTGGCATTCACCCGTTCTTCTGGACGAGAATTGTCGTAACCAGTTCCTGTTTTCCGCCAACCTGGACGAGCGCCAGCTGTTTGATGCTTTCTTCTGATTCATCCAGAAACTCGGGTGGAGACAGTTTGTGGACTTGCGCCCTAGATGATCTGAACATAGACTTTATTGTTTTCTTTCAAGGCCATGTATAAACGATGCTGCTATTAGGCGGAGTCGGCCTCCCCTTGGAGCTTTGGGACCATTTTGTCGATATCAGATTCATTGCGGCGGTCAAAGTTGTATCAAATATGTGGACGGCATGATGACTTCCGAGATGGGAATGGGACTAGGCGCAGGTCAGGAAGTATGCCGCCTCGGTGGCGACCCTCCCTTCCGGAGTTGTAGATGGTGAAATGTCAGCACTAGCATCCCGCGGTGGAAACTGGATGTACGGTCGAATGACGATCAACGAATCAGAGACAACGAACAGTCGAGCGAGAAGAAACGGCAAACGGTCGATGCAACGGTCAACGAGACACACTGAGAATAGAGAAGAAGATCTCTGTGCAGTCATTAACGGAGAGCTCTGATTGGTTGAATCAGAATGGAACCGGATTTCGGGATAGTCGAGGTCAAACCTTGTGCAGATCTCGGCTAATTATTTGATTGGTGAAAGCTTCTGATTGTGGGACCTCAAGACCGCACAGAGCTCCACCCTTGGCGCGACGCAAAAGCACCAATCGGAGGAAAGATAGGCGATGAAGCTTCCAAGGTTGTAGTTACCTAGGTAAACAGAGGCTTCAGAGCAAGACGCTCATAACCTGTTAGCAAGAGAAGCTAGAAGGCTACCGAGGAATAGAAGGCTTCTGGAAAATTTTGAGCTGCGTAGAGAAAGAGAGAAACAATCTACATGAGTGGGACTAAATGTTGGTGGGAGCAAAAAGGTCACATGAGCTTTCGACGCCCCCGATCCAACATGGTGTATGAACCCTTAGAATTTGCCGTGAAAACTTTCGTTGGTAAATCACTAAGATATTTGCACCTACCATCCCAGTCCCTCAGCCCAGGGCAAAACACCGCACCTGGCGCGTGGAATTCAGCTGGGAAAATATCGACTCAGAGCCAGATTGTGCGGTATCCTTAAGAATATCGACGCTGTAGGTGAGTTCATTGTGCCTAGGGTTTTGGAAGTCTGAATTTGGGCAAGACTGGAAACAGCGCAAGAGAGCAAGCAAAGAAAATACAAACTGGCCATGTTGTGGAGTGACTCAACGGCCTCCTGGACAAGCCTGGAACTGCTCACTGAATAAGTAACGCGTCACAAAGTAGTGATGTCGATCAGCTTGGAATATTGCGGAGATTCAGCTTGTGGAAACTAAAACGGTTTTCGTTCTCGTACCAACTGAGACCAAGCACCCTCTATAGCTTTAGGTGCAGTTGGGCCGCATCGTTCTCGTATTCTCTGTTCTCGCAGCCTGCAGTAACAGCTGGAGCCTTGGTGGCTGCGACTGGACCAAACCCCTACCAAGGATGACCTTGAAAAAGAAACCTGCGTGCCGCATCAAGGGCCTTGTCAAATCGAACTTCCTCTTTCAGAGCTACGAAGCCTCCTCAACTGAAACATTATACTAACCTTATCACGAAAGCCATGCTGCGCCTCCATCATTGCTGCCGGACGGGGTCTGGGGTCCTGGAGCTTTGGGTTATTGCACTGCCGCCCTCATGGCTTCGCGTCAGCAGACGGCCGTGATTACCGATTCGTCCTGGCCAAGCCAATGGGGTTAGGAGTTGTTGGAGGAGTAAGCTGTGGATCGCCCAGTCTTAAAAGACTCCTTCCGGGTAAGTTTTTGCGCATTAACCCAATTGGGCTTCGAGCTTGAACTGCATTCCCGCCAAGCTAGATTCCGGATGAGCCAGTGGCTGTGCTGGGTTGATCTCTGGTATTTGCCCCAGCAACTCACGGCTTAAGCTTTATGCACATTATCCAAATCCAGCTTAACAGAAGTATGTATACAGTGATGTAATACTTCCGCCCTCCTGCTCATACCACCTGCCTATAGTACCACCATCTGCCTACCAATTACTCCGTATAGAAATTTTTATTCCGGGGTTCTACTGGCAGAAAAGTGGGTCCCGGAATTACCACAGTGCAAATGCTAATAAACCTTGGAAACGCCACTGTACATCTATGTCTGAGATGCTACTCCGTACATGTCTGCTCCGAGTGGCCATGCTAAGCTGAACTCTCTTATTTGGAATTATCATTATCGTTCAGGAGCATACAGACCCACAAGTGCCCGCGGCGAAGAGGCTGGAGCTATGAGTATAAATATACGATCATGGTTACGCCAAAAAAAGGGAAAATAACTTACCTATTCAGATTTGCGCTGCCTTTTCAATCACCGGTTACACACCTCAAGATTTCGCAAACATGAAGCTACTCGACACGGTTCTCCTGTTTTCCGTGTTTCCTCTGATCCATGCCCAGTATGACAACGGTTCCCCTACAACGACTGCGACATCGCCAATCACCACATCCACGTCGGCTTCTAGTGGTGTTCACACGGTGGATATCGGGGAGGACGGCATTACCTTTGCTCCTGCTTCCCTGATTGTTTCTCCCGGAGAAAAAGTGGAGTTTCACTTTAACCCGCAGAAACACTCGGTGGCCCAAGCCTCGTTTGACAGTCCCTGCCATCCACTGAGCGATATGGCTTTCTCCAGCGGACTTGTCTCGACGAGTGGGGAATCAGTAAGTTATGCAAGCCTCAGCTGAGAGCTATAAGAAGGCATCTAACTCCAATAGAAAACCGTCTTCACCTTGATGGTCAACGATACAAACCCCATTTGGTACTACTGCGGTCAGCAAGGACATTGTCAGGCAGGCATGGTTGGGGTCATCAATCCCCCCTCGTAAGTGGGAATCGAAGATCATTTTACGAGACGTGAATTGGGTTTGCTTACTCAACTGATTCTCTTTAGCACCAACGGGCAAACCCTGGCCTCGTTTAAGGACGCAGCATCCAAAGCCAAAGACACTACAGTACCTCCAAATGTTCAGGGTGGCGTCCTTGCTAATTCCAACAACGAATCTGGAAGCAACACAACTACTGGTTCACCAAGCAGGACGAGCGGTTCTGCCTCCACCTCAGCCAATGTAGCTAATACGGTGGACGCTGTAGGTGGAATAAGTGTTCTTTGGATTCTATCTTCTTTGGCCTCAATGTTTATGGTGTAGGCTTATTACGAGTTGACTATGAATTGTGCTTTTGGAGACTCCTCGTAGTCGAGAGAGATTTCGTTCAAAATATGATAAGATATTGTACATAGGTTGAAATCATTGGTCAATTCATCGCTTCAGATAAAGACTTTACAGATGATTTCAACATTGAACTGTCATCAAATTCCAGTTCCTACTACCTACTAAATGGCCCGTCTAGTGTAGACATCTTCTGATGAGGACCAACTTCGGTTTTTACAAGGCATTTCTAAACTTGAGGCTATTTTGATACTTAAACGCCCAGATTTTACGTCCATATCCCGAAATCGACAATAACGAGTTGCTAACCATAAAAAAAATGATTTGCTGAGAGCTTCTCCCGGAGTATCCACCAATTTAATATGAGTTCGGGCACATAAGCGAAGAAACTTCACGACAGCATGACGAGAACCACCAAGGAACAAGTTTCCCTGTCCATGTATCACAAAAGGTGGGAATTTTCTGCATGCTGCGAGTGATTGGCAGCAAGGATAAAGATGTTAGCAGGTGAAAAAGAAGTCTGATGTTTCTCGTCGGAATTGACGTATTAATCGCTCATCGAGGTTTGGTAGACAATGTAGGCGGGAAATTTTGCAACCAAACGCTAAATGATGCTGGACGCTGCTTGTCTGTTCGGTGTCCTGATGTCCTGCAATCAGATGTAAGCCTAGGCCGGTGAGGCTGCCCCTTTCTGAGGCCGTGATTTTGTGATTGCCCAGCCGCCTCTGAAATTGATTTATATTTTTGGTATGACTGCTCCAGAGTCACTACCTAGGTAGGATAATCAGCTTGACGGTAGAATCGATCGTCCCCTAAGGCAACTTCAATGCATGTCTTCAATGCCTGATCCGAGGAGGATGATGGGGTGTTGCTGAGTGTCGCCCTTGATGGATTCAAGGAGCGAAGCTATTTACTTTGTCTTGATGCTAGTCCCTCGAATAATTGGGAAGGGCCAGGTTGACGGGGTTATAGGATTTGGTTTCCACGGGCGACATGTAGCTGGGTCTCTGGTAGAAATCATGATCCAACAGTGGAGGCCTTTCTTATCGTTCA